TGAGCCGGCCCCTGCGCCGCCCGCTGGGGTCTGCGGGCGCCTCTGGCTGCGGCCCCGGCCTCGGCTGAGCAGCGCAGCCGGAGCCGCCCCAGTCGCGCTCACTGCCGCTCTCCAATCCGCTTCTCAGGGGGTTCTTCCGTTCCCTGGGGTTTTCCAACGCCCACCTGTCCTGGCCTTTCGTCTCGCGGGTCCCCTTGCCTGGAATTCTCTGTCCAATCCTCCGCCTCCTTGTGTTGTGGTCCACCTCCTCCGCGGTAGGACTCCGTGTTCGAGTCCTACCTGCTGGTACCTGTGGATGGGACCTGTGTGGAGACAGGATCTTTGCGAGTGGAATCAAGTTGAGCAAGCTGAGGCAGGAGGATTGCAAGTGCAGGTCTGCCTGGGCAGCTTAGCAAGACCCTGTCTCAAAATTAAGTAAAAGGCTGGGGGTATGGGTCAGTGATAGAGCACTTGCCTGAGAGGCTTATCGCCCTGGGTTCAGTAACAACACAAGAAGATGAGGTCATATTGGAATAGGGTGGGGCTCAATCCAAGCACTCAGGAGGCTGAGGCAGGAGGATGGACAGGAGTTCAAGGCCAGCTTGAAGTACATATCGAGAGCATGTCTCCAGCCAGGGATATGACTCAGTGGCACAGAGCCTGCCTGGCAAGGGCAAGGTCCTGAGTTCGATTCCCAGGACCTCACCTCCCTAAAAAAGAGCTTGTGTCAAAAAACTGAAAGGGGGAGGGGAAGAGGAAGAGAAGGAGGAAGAGGGGACAGCCAAGGGAGGCGGTGGTGCGCGCCTGTAACCCCAGCAAGCCAGTGGCTAGTCTGAGGCTGGCCAGGGCTGTAGAGTGAGTTCCAGGCTGACTTGGAGCAGCAACATGAGAAGCTAGCAAAGGGGGTTCCAGGGACTTCAGCAGCAGTGGGCCCCACCAGCGCCCTTGGGAGAGAACAGACTTCTTTCTTTCCTTCATTTATTTTTTTTGAGGCAAGGTCTTTTAGGCTGGCCTTGAACTTACTATGTAGCTGGCCTCAAAATCCCAGTGATCCTCCTGCCTCAGCCTCCCTGCTGGGATTACAGGCGTGTGCCACCACGTCTGGCTTATCTTTTATTTTTTTGTGGTACTAAGGATTAACCCAGGGCCTTCACACTGAGCTACCGTGATAGTTACCTGTGGTGTCAACTTAAATAGGAAATGCCCAGCTGCCGGGGTTAGCACAGTTCTGGGTGTGGGTGATGGACCTGCCCATGAAGGCAGAAGCCTCAGCTGGTGTGAGTGGCACCAACCAACGGGCTCGGAGCCTGCATGGGATGAGAGGGAGAGAGGGATGCTTGCTTCTGCTTCTTCGGAGGAACTCAAGTCTTTGCCTTTCTCTTTAGTTGATCTTTTTTATTTTTATTTTTAATTTTTCTTTGAGACAGGATCTCACTGTGCAGTTCAGGGTGGCCTCAGATTCACCGGGATCCTCCTGTCTCTGCCTCCCAAGTGCGATTACAAGTGTGTACCACCATGCTCTGCTTTTTTTTTTTTTTAAGTACAGTGGTACCTCAGTTTATGAACTTAACTTGTTTCACAATTTGGAGGAACATGGCTGTGTTCATATTTGTGTGGGGGAGACGGCCGTGGTCTGTCACCCAATGGGGGTTTGTGAAAGGAACCAAAATCCTGCCAAACCCGGTTGTGAGCAGAAGTGTTTGGAAACAGAAGTACTCGTGAAGCAAGTCACGACTGTGTGTGTATTTAAAGATAGTTAAACCTGTTCCCCTAGTAAGCCCTAAGTGACACAGCTACATCCCCAGCCTTTTTTATTTTGAGACAGAGCCTCAATAAATTGCTAAATTGCTCAAGCTGGTCTCAAACGTATGATCTTCCTGCCTCAGCTTCCTAGAGCATCAGGGTCATAGTGTATATCACTGTGGTCAGCTGAGAGAATAAATTTCCATTATTGGCCACTCAGTTTGTGGCACTTGGTTACAGCAGCCCTAGAAAACTAATCCAACCTCAATCAGAGCTGGGTGTGGTGGCACACGCCTATAATCCCAGCACCCAGGAAGCTGAGGCAGGGGGATCACTTCCAGTTCAAGGCCAGCCTGGGCTAGAGTTCAAGACCAGCTTAACTACATAGGGAGGCCCTGCCACAAAAACCCCAGACCATCAATCGGACTTCAGCTTCCCTTAGGAAGTGTGTGTCCTGCCCCAACGAACGGCCTCTCCTAGGCTGGCCGCACAATGTGAAATTGCTCATGAGCCCAATGGACCAGCGCCGGTATGTGTCCTTCACCTTGGTACCTCCAGAGGGCGCTCTTCATCTCCTGAACAATGAGTGAAGCTC